AGCAAGAGCGAGACCCCTTCTCTACTAAAAATAGAAAGAAATTAGATGGACAACTAAAAATAGATAGAAAAAATTAGCCGGGCATGGTGGCATATCCCTGTAGTCCCAGCTACACAGGAGGCTGAGGCAGGAGGATCGCTTGAGCCCGGGAGTTTGAGGTTGCTGTGAGGTAGGCTGACGCCATGGCACTCTAATCAGGGCAGTAGAGTGAGACTCTGTCTCAAAAAATAAAAACTGAAAAAAAAAAAATAATCAGCTCAAAATAATCCTTATGCTGGGCTGGGCACGGCACTCACTCTAGCCCGGGCAACACAGTGAGACTCTGTCTCAAAAAAAAAAAAAAAAAAAAGAGAAAGAAAGAAAAGAAAAAGAAACTTGAAGGATATGGTAATCCGCACTTTCATTCAGAAACATAAATTTTCATTGTAGGTTTTATTGTAAAATGGTACATATAAGTTTATCCAATTTATTCAACACTTCAACTTAGAAATTTAGAAGCTTCCTTGGAATACTGGTTAAAATCAAAACCAGGGGCAAGTTTTATGCTAAAAACTTTACTGAAAAATATTCGGAGTCATTATATTGATAAAATGACTGTTATGAAACTTAAAAATAATGCAAATTCAGCTGTAATCATTTGCAGCTATTTCTTTCAAAACTAAGTCACCATTTGTTCCTTTTTCTAACACTACAGTACTCTATTTTCATTAAAAGCCTACAACAAGGCACAGCTTCTTCGATATCAAAACCTTTTGGAAACCTGGCTCAGAGGAAGCCACACATTGTTTACAGTGCTAGAAAGGACCCGGGTGGTCACTCTAGGACAAATGTCACTGTCACCAGCCCGTCTGGGTGTCTCATAGTGACTTGGGTCATGCAAAAGTGTGGGAGAAGGCTGGAGTCTGAAACAAAGTCCACAGCTAGAGTTCTTTGAAAAGGGACAGAGGTTTACCTGAGAAACCCAGATGAGGCTCCGACCTGTGGGGAAGTAGTCTCCCAGGACAAATTAATTTCAGGGATGCACCGCCCCTTCCCTCAAGAAAGGGACGCAGGTGTTGCCCTCCACGGCGACCCCTCCGCTTTCTTTCCGGAGCCGCCGCCCCTTTCCCCCAGCCCCTGTTACCTTTCTCGTCTTCATCGATGCGCAGGGCAATGGAGATGTACTCGAAGGCCTGTTTGTGGAAGGCTCGGACGCTCTCGGCCTCACCGCCCGGCATCGGCGCCGGGGGCGAGGCCGAGGCCGGCGCCGGAGCGGCCCGGGAGCTCCTCTTGGCTGCCATGAGCGCGCGGGAGAAGCGCTGGCAGAGCCACACGAAGAGGAGCCCCAGGTGGAAGGCGACCAAACGCAGCAGCGCGAAGCCTACGAACAGCGGGTAGGAGAAGTAATACAGGTTCTGCTTATGCGGCGACTCGCGCGCAGAGGCCCGCCCGGCGGCGGGAGGGGCGGGGGCCAGGCAAGGAGGCGGAGGCCTGGGAGGCACCGGGCTGCTGGGGCCCCGGGAGCCTTTCTTCTTCCCTCGTCCACCCGGAGAATTCATTCACAGCTCCCACTGCCGCCGCCGCCATAACCCGCCTCCCGCAGACCGACGGGGACCAAGCGACGGCGGCGGCCACTGCGACGGCAAGGGCCACAGACGCCCGAGCGCCCGCCGGCCCCAGGGGCTCGGCACCTCCACACAAGGCCCGCCGGCCCCGCCCCTTTCTCCTTCCGCAGCTAGGAGCACAACCCCGTCTCCTCTTCCAGCTGTCGACGGCTCCAGCCCCTCCCTCCCTTCCTCTGTCCTCTCAGCCGCACGATAGCCCAGAGCGGCGGCCGCGCACGCGCACGTTGTCCCGTGTCTTTCTCCGGCGCGCGCACGCCCCGTCTTTGTTGACCTGAGCTACTGTGCGCGTGTGCGGCGCCCGCCGCTGGCCCGTTCCCCTCAGAACTACAGTTCCCAATGTGCAGTTCGCTCAGGACGTCCCGGGGCTCCGTCGCTCCGCCGGCTTCTCTGCCCCAGGACCTCCCAGTAGGGAACCTGGGTAATCAACCCACACAAGGGGAAATCGTGGCTTGGGGTCGCTAGGGTAGGTCGCAGGTCCTATATCTCCCAGTGTCATCATTTTCTTATATTTCTTTCATCATTTTCAGCCAAGGAACCCAGATCTTCTGCAAATGACAATTGATCCATCTCAGAAGCAATGCGTATCAATCTATTAATCGGAATTATTATCTAAGAGGAAAGCAGTTGGAGAGACAGACTTCAGGTCACCCCAAACAAAAAATGTTAGCTCTATGTGATGAGGTCAGCGAATTGAGATGTTTGACTAGATTATTAGGTGTTTAGATGTCTAATCTGTAGAATTAATTTATTCAAATAAAGAAATTCTTAGATTTTGCATAAAACCATCACGTAGTTTACTGAGGAATCAACACTGTGCACTGAGACAAAAGGTAGTTGGAATTGAAGGCTCTAAAAAGCTGGTGGATCAAGTCATCCCATTGAGATCCCCAGAGCTGCTGGGTTCCTGACTGGTCACTTGATTATATAACGTATCCAATAAACTATTCAGTCTCTATTTCTCTCCCTGTCTCCTTTCCCCCTTTGCTCTCTCGCTTTTCCTATTTCCTATCTTTTTTTTCCTTCTTCTCTTTTTCTTTTAACTTGAGTTAGCCCTAATTGTTTCTTCTTGTCTAAAACTAAAACTAAGGAATCCTAACTGATACAAAGTCGCCATTGTTTACGGTGTCCAGTTTTACATTTGCTTCACAAGAGCTTCCAAGAATCTCCACATTCTATCACGACCTTGTCTAATTATTCCCCACCAATACTCCTCTACAAATATCATAGGCTATTGGAAAAAGGACCTATTCCCTGTTTCCCTCCTGCTGCTCCCACTTTTCTGCCTCTGTGCTTATGCTAGTTCCTCTTTCTGAAATGCCCTCTCTCAAATCTATTCATTTCTATTCCTGACTTCCCTCCAGAAAACCTGACTTGTCTCTTCATCATCTCCCCTTCCAGGTAAAGTATCTGACTTCGCTCTTCTGAAACCCATACTACTTGTGTGAAATCTATGATATTTATACATATATCGTGTAAACAAGATGTACATAAGTTAAATGTACAAGATAAAAATAATAAGCAACATCCAGTTTAAGAAAAATTAATCAGCTCTTTAAAGCACTCTGTGAGCTCCTCCCTAATCGCAACCTCTCTTCTCCCCCTCTACAGGAAGCTGCTGTCCTGAATTTTGTAGTAATCATTCTTTTGCCTTTCATTTTAGTTTACAATGTATTTTATTTATTTTTTTCCAAAATATTAAGGGGCTACAAATGTTTTTGTTACATGGTTTGAGTCAGGGCTGTAAATGTGCCCATCACCTGAATAGTGTTCATTGTACCCATTAGGTGGGTTTTTACCCCTCCCTTCCTCCCCCTTCCCTCTGCTTAATTTCCGTTGACTTTTATTTCCCTTTGTGCACTGTGTGCCCATCAGTTAGTTCCAATTTATTGGAGAGTATGTGTTGTGTTTGTTTTTCCATTTTTGAGATAATTTCCTTGGGATAATGGTCTCCAATTTGTTCCAAGTTCCTGCAAAAGGCATTCATTCATCCTTTCTATGGCTGAGTAGTAAGTACTCCATGGTATACATATACCACATTTTGATAATCCACTCATGAACCGATGGGTACTTGAGTTGATTCCACATCTTTGCAATTGTGAATTGTGCTGCAATAAACATTTGAGTACAGGTGTCTTTTTGATAAAGTGACTTCTTTTCCTTTGGGTAGATACCCAGTAGCGGGCTTGCTAGACCGAATGGTAGATCTACTTTTAGTACTTTGAGAAATCTCCATACTTTTTTCCATAGGGGTTGTATTAATATGCAGATCCACCAACAGTGTATAAGTTTCTCTCTGCATCCGTGCCAGCATCTATTGTTTTTGGACTTTTTGGCAAAAGCCATTCTAATAGGAGTAAGGTGATATCTCATTGTGGTTTTAATTTGCATTTCCCTGATGATTAATAATGTTGAGCATTTTTTTCATATTTTTGTTGGCCATTTGTCTATCTTCTTTTGAAAAACTTCTGTTCATGTCTTTTACTCACTTTTTAATAGGGTTGTTTGTTTTTTTTCTTGCTGATTTGTTTGAGTTCTTTTTATTATTGATTCTGGATATTAGCCCTTTATCAGATGTGTAGATTGTGAATATTTTCTTCCATTCTGTAGGTTGTCCATTTGCTCTGTTGATTATTTTCTTAGCTGTGCAGAAGCTTTTTAGTTTAACCAAGTCCCATTTATTTATTTTTCCTGTTGCTGCAATTGCCGTTGGTGTTAGTTTACAATGTATTTATGTACCTCTAAATAATGTGTTGTATAATTATACCTTGTATAATGATTGAGTGAGAGCTTTTGGGGTGCCCATCACCAAAAGTGTTCATTGTACCCAATAAGTAAGTTTTTACCCCACACCAACCCTCCTGTCCTCCTCCCTCCTTGGTTTCTCATATCCTTTGTATAGCTTTGTGCTCATGTATACCCATCTATTGGCTCCCTCTTACTAGTGAGCACATACGGTGTTTGGTTTTCCATTCCTGGTATACTTCACTTAGGATAATGATCTCCAGTTCCCTCCACATTGCTGCAAATGACATTATTTCATTCCTTTTCGTGGCTCAGTAGTACTCCATGATATATATATATACCACATTTTCTTTCTCCACTCGTGAATTGAAGGGCACTTAGGTTGATTCCACATCTTTGCACTTGTGAATTGTATGATGCTTGTTTTTACTTTATATAAATGTAATCAGATTGCAAATATTCTTAATTTGCTTTTTCTGCTCAATATTTAAGTGTTTGAAATTCCTCCGTATTGATTTCTATAGCTGTAGTACATTTATTTTCCTTGCTATGTAGTATTCCATTATATGAATTTACCATAATTTATTTTACCATTCAACTGTTGAAGGATATTTAGTTCAGTGCTTGTATGCTAATAGTTTTTTTCTTTTGCTTAAGTAACTAACTTTTTAACTTGGCCAATATATGGCCCAATAGTAGAGTGGTTAAATGGTTTCAGAGTCAGATTGGTTACATTCAAATCTCTGCTCCATCACTTTGTATGATCTTGAACTAGTGGCTCAGTCGGCCTTCCTATCTATTACGTAATATTAAAGTAGTAGTGCCTGGAATCAAGTTGATACTTGATATTTTTTTGAATGAAGAATGGTTCTCCCACATTTCCTCTACACTTATACTATAGTCTAACTAAAATGGACTACTGGCAAGTTTCTGAGCATTCTTTACCCTTTTCCAGGACTACAGTTATCCTCCAGTCAATTTCCTTCCGCTTAGAATGGCCTTTCCTCCTACCCTCACTGTCGAAGTCCTTCAAAACTTAATTCTAATGTTACCTTCTTGATAAATTCTTTTCTTATCAACTCCAGTGGAAATGATTCTATTTTTCAATTCTTGTGACAATATATAGTTGTGTTATTCTATGACTCTTATAGTATATTGCACTGCATGATAGTTGTTTAAACACTTTATCACTTCCTGATAGAGACTGTAAACTTACTGAAGGCAGTGGTCACACTTTATACATTTTTGCTTACTTTCTACATCTAGCCTGATGCCTTGCTTATGGTACTCATTTAATAAATATGAATAATTTGAAAAACAATTTGAACATGATCATTGTATTAGATATCTGTTGGTATGTAAGAAGCTACTCCAAAACTTGCTGGCTTAAGATAACAGCTATTTATTTACTCACAATTTTGTGAGTCAACAGTTTGGTTCATCTAGGTGGTTCTTGTAATGGCCTTGTGGGGGGCCAGTGGGGATGGTTCATTCATGTGGATGCAGTCATCTGATGGCTTGACCAAATGGCTGGATGGCCTAGCCAGCTCACTCACATGTTCAGAGGTTGGTTGTGGCTGTTGGCTGGGACATGTGTCTCTAGCACAATAGCCCAGACTTCTTTACATGGCATCTGACTTTGAAGAGAGTATAAGTAGAAGCTGTAAGGCTTCTTAAAACCTAAACTTCAAAGTTGCACAATATCATTTCTACTGCATTTCTATTGTCAAAGGCGGCATGCAGTGGTTCATGACTGTAATTCCAGCACTTTGGGAGGCTGAGGCGAGAGGATCATTTGAGGCCAGGAGTTCAAGACCAGCTGGGGCAACATAATGAGACCTTGTCTCTACAAAAATTAAAAAATTAGAAGAATGTGGTGGTCCTGCCTGTAGTCCTAGCTACTTGGGAGGCTGAGCCAGAAGGAATACTTGAGCCTGGAATTTGGAGGCTGCATTGAGCTGTGATCTCACCACTGCACTTGAGCCTGGGTGACAGAGTGAGACCCTATCTTAAAGAAGAGGAGGCAAGAAGTCACAAGGCCAACTCCAATGAAAGAGATGGGAAAATAAACTCCACATCTTGAAAGAAAAGTGGCAAAGTCACATTACAAAGGAGCATATATACAGGGATGGGAGGAATTGTTGTGACCATCTTTGCAAGTAATCTAGCATAGGCATTATGTGTAGACTTTCCTTTCATTTCATGTTCAGGTAAGAGCTTAAGCATCTCTCATTTAAGATAGCATTTTCCAACTGTTTCGCTGCATCATAAAAACCTTAGATTTTATCACAGGGCAAATTAACATGCTTAAGTTTAA